CCCCAAAACCCCAAAACCCCAAAACCCCAAAACCCCAAAACCCCAGTGGCTCGTTGATCTATTGAAAATTGCCAATATTTGGAACTCTATAAATTTATTTCACAATATGAAAGGAAGAAAAAGACAACCGACAAAGTTGAGAGAGACAGCCCAGCTTAATACAATGGTCAAGCAGAACAAAACCTGGGCTGAGAAGAGACTTCTAAGGGATTATAAGGAGATACAGGAGAATAGTGTCCCTACAGTTGGGGTCACTGCTTGTCCGACAGATGATAACTATTTTGTATGGAGAGGAAACCTTAGAGGACCTGAAGGCACTCCTTATCAAGGGGGAGTTTTTCATATTGAGATTGTATTTCCACAGTTATATCCTACTGAGCCTCCGAAGATACACCTTATGACTCCATTGACACATCCTAATGTCTTTGGGAAGGAAATATGCTTGGATATGCTGGATGGAAATGATAGAGTTCTCTATCAAGGTTGGACTTCTGGATATACAGTTCAAAGTGTTTTGATTCAACTCCAATCTTTTCTATTTGAGAAGCCTCCAAAGCATAGTGAGGAGAAGATTAAAAGAGAAGTAAAATTAGCAAATGAATTCAAAGATCTTTCTATTAATCATAAGGGACCTCTAAGTCCGTATCCTCCATTCAGCACAAAGGAAAAGGACGAAGATAGCTTTGTTATGGCTATAACAGAAAAGGAGCTACTAGAAGAAGAACTTGTCTGTTTCCATACAAGGCTTAGTTTGATCAATGATACCACTGTTCTTGGGGCAGGAATCAGCTTCTCCAGGCTTCCAAGAACAGGAGAGATCAAGGATGTATCCACGACAGTAGATTTACTCAGCAATCAGGCTTATATGAAATGAGGAGTCAGACATTCACTTTCAAATGAGAAATTTACTCATTTCTTGCCTCTATACTTTGGGATTCAGATGGATAAGACAATTTTCTTAGTCGAACACGCAATTAGCTTCATCTGTAAAGGGTCGACCAAGAAATTTGCATCTTCTCAAGTTCTAGAAGTTCTTACCAAGATGTTTAAGACTCTGATTGTGGATATGACAAATGAATCCTTGCATCATTCGTACAAGTCTATTAGGATGCTTATCTATATCCATAGATTGATGATGATATTCATTGAGAAATATCCCGAAATAAGTGAGACAATTGATCAGTGACTGGCCAAATTCATTGACCACCCAGAGTGTAGGATCAAAGACGAGACTCCAGACATTGGTGAGCTCCTAGTTTACCTGACGATCTCGAAGAAATATTTCTGGGAGGACCTTAAAGAGGCATATCTAGGCGAGCAATTGGATAGACAAATCTTATGGATCATTAGAGAAATTCCTAATCTTGAAAAGATAAAGGATTCAGAGCTGGAAGATGCAAAGCTGGAAGCCTCTTTCAAGTCTACCATCGTTGGTTTTAGAATAACCATGCTCTTCAAGCTCTTCAACACTGAAATTATCGAAAAGACAGGGAAGGACTTCCAAAAATTTGCCGAGTTCCTTGACCAAAGATACTGAAGACTTGAAGAATCTACAGAGAAAGATTTCAAAGATGCTATCAACACTATCTTTGAAGTCAGAAGCTATGTTGGTTACTACTCTTTCGTGGGGAAGAATGTGCATGACAAGAAGGCTCTGGCTTCTGCTCTAGACCAAGCAATGAAGAACTCTCTTGAGAAGAAATATCATGGAGACGAATCAGATAAAAATGTTATCCCTAAAATCTCAGAACAAGCCACATCTTTCCACAGAACTCTACCTAATTTGATGAAATATTGGGATGAAAAGCTCCAAAAATTGGACAAAGAAGGTGATGAAGATTTTTGGAAAACCCTTTGTCTTGAAAAGTATGAGTTTATATCCAATAAGATGAGAGGATCCTTTGGAGAATCCACTCCAAAACAACTAGCAGAACAAATGGATATGTGCAGGATCTATGGTATTTCAGAAGATGATGATCCATTGATCAAGCTCAATCAACAAACTTTTGGAAACTATAATCTCAAAGATATTCACGGACAGAAGGGATTCCATGAATACAAGGAAACAATGACCTGGATGGAGTTATTCATCAAGCTTGACTTTGAAGGATTCCTGGAAGTATTCCCAATGATGGATAATTTCAAACTGCTTTACGACTATCTTCATGCTGTAAATGGAAAGCTCAGCTGCTTGTACCTAAAAATACACTCAAAAATAGCATTAAAGAGTGGGTATTACTGGTATATGGTAATCTTATCAAACCTAACTTCTCTCGAGGGACTTATCATTCATGACGAAGAACTCTTGCTAAGACCTGCTTTTAAGTATATTTCTAAGGGGTTTGCTAACTTCTTCAAGAATGGAGGAAAGCTGAAGAAGTTGTTCTTGAGCCAGGTTAATGAAAATACTATACAGGCAGGCCTGTATAATATTCTTAAAAATCTTCCCCAGTTGGAATCTATTTGTACATATCAATGTACTCTCCGACATGAATCTGGTAAAGCTATTGGGAAAATACTCTCTGATTTTAAGTACATGAAAGAGCTTGACTTCTCTGGAAATTCATGTGATGACACTTTTGTAAAAGAGATAGCGGATGGCCTCATGAGGGCTAAGATGTTGGAGACACTAAAGCTTCAACGATTATACAATTGCACAGAAGGAATAGCATCCATATTATACAGTCTTGCTTTTAGTCCAAGAATTCGACATATTGATCTTTCTCATGTTCCGATTGGGTCAGATTCCAGGCTTTGTGAAGCCCTTTATAAAGTATTAAAGATCTCAGGATCTATCGAACACTTGATTCTTAACCATACTGAAGCACATGAAGGGCTGAGTAAAGATTTCTTTATATGATTGGGAGAGAACAAAACTTTGAAATCCCTTCATTTGGACTCTAAGAATAAATTCAAGACTACTTTTGCTAAATATCTTGGAACTGCAGTTGCAATGAATTCAAAGAAGGATTGCTCATTAGAAACTTTATCTTGTTCTAATGGATTCTCTAACAATGGATTGGAAACATTCATTAACTCTCTCTATATTAGTGAAAAAGATCATGAAAGATGGTACGGAGATGCTGTGGTAGCTGAAAAGATGTCTGGTAGTGATCTCGATCTGAGATGGAATTTTAATATCAAGCATTTCAACATCAATCAAACTATTCTTAGATGTGATATAAGTATTGCTACACTTAAGAAATATACCAATCCAAAGTATCCTCCTCTTGTTCGCTTGTTCAGCTCTTGAATGACTCATGTTGACTTGAATAACTCTGGGCTGAATTCAAAGAGAACAATGGAACTACTCACAACTTGTTTAGATAATCCGTTATCCAAGTGAAAAGTTACTCATCTGAATCTATCCAAAAATGGAATCGACAAGGAAGGATCAAAGATCTTTTGTGAAGCTCTTAAGAAACAGTTTACAATTCGAAGTCTTGATCTATCTGGTAATAAACTAGGAGTTTCTGGATGCAAGTCTATTGCTCATGCCTTAAAGACAAACACTAGTGTTGTCTCTCTTAACCTATACTCAAACCAGATCGATGTCGATGGAGCCAGATACTTGAAGGAAACTCTTTTGGTCAATGATACTCTGGAATATATTGATGTTGGTTCAAACAGAATTAGAGATAAAGGTTTACTTGAGATGGCTGAAGGTATTATAGGCAATAGTACCTGTGCCCTAAAAAGTATCAGCATGAGATACAACTTCATCACAGATGATGGAGCTGAGAAGTTCTTTGATAAGATACTATCATCCTCCAAAATTGAGAGAGTCTTCCTAAAGAACAACTATTTGACGGATCCATTTATCGTAAACCTTCAGAAGAGGTTAGATGATTTTGAATACAAAATATTTGTGGATGCTTTCGATAAGGTAAAATATCTTGCCCAAGATAAGTTGGTAAAATCTATCTGGATTTCTCCGATTAATGCTTTATTCACAGAGCAAAGCATAACCAAATTCTTCCAAGAAGATCAGGAATGTGGCCTCGTGAAAGAAGTTAGAATGTTCAAAGGAAGTGAGAAAGAAGGAAAACAACAAGAGAATATCTATGCCTTTGTTGAGTTTGAGCATGAAAATTCTGTTGCTAGAAGTCTCAGAGTTGCTTCGAAGAAGAAATCATTTCTTCATGGAACCAGATTCAAGATCTTCAAAGCAGGAACCCAACAACACTCGTCCACAGCTCCTAAAGCAGCTAAGATACCTGAAAAGAGAAACACAGGTAGAGGTGGTGCTATTTTCAGAGCAATGCAAAGAGGCCTAACAAGAGGTAGAGGTCCAATAAGAGGTAGAGGCCTAACAAGAGGTAGAGGCCCAGCAAGAGGCAGAGACTTTGCTAGACCTCAAAGATTTACTAGAGGAGGATTCACTGCTTTTTCAAGAGGACTGAACCAAAGAAAGAGAAGAAGAGAGAGCAGCTCCAGTAGCGAGACCCCCACCAACAACCAAGCCACTCAAAGAAAAAGACCAAAAAGGCTCTAATCTTCTATATTTTCAACACTAAATCATCTCCCTGGGGTTTTGGGGTTTTGGGGTTTTGGGGTTTTGGGGTTTTGGGGTTTTGGGGTTTTGGGG